CAGGGCGCAGCAGGCCCCTCCTGCCCCCCACCCCGCTGCGCCCCTCAGCAGTGTATCGCAGTGGATCTGCCTGTTCCGCCCCCCACTCTGTCTCTGGGGATCCTCTCACCTCCCGCCTCTCTGTACCCCAATCTTGTATGCATAATAGATCTTTTTAAAAGAAAGAAACTTTGACTGGAAACATCGTTAGTGTGGCCTTCCTGTCGCATAATGATCTTTTTAGATTTTTTTTACATATTACTTTAACATCTTTATTTAAGTACAATATCTTTTATAATGCAAATTAATAGCACATAACACTATTTTACATTTTACATTTATGATTTGACCTCATTTTTAAAATATAGTTTATTTTTACATCATTTTGTGCATTTTTCCGTCTCAGTTGCAATCCCCTTGGGCTTCCCATCACCACATCACCCGTGTGCCCTCACCATAGTCCAGTGCATTTCCCTCCCCCCCAGTTTTTGACCCCATCCCCCACTCCAGCCCGTTAAAATGTCTCTGGTCTATAGCTGTTGGTTGTTATTACTTTCTCCCATGGTCCGTTATACTCCTGCTATGAGTGAAACCATCCGGTATTTTTCCTTTTTTTTCTGGCTTATCTCACTAAGCATGATCCCTTCCAGCTCCATCCACGTTGCTGCAGAAGGCCTGTGTTTCTTTTTTTTGGTTGCTGAGTAATATTCCATTGTGTATATGGACCACATCTTTTTAATCCAGTCATCTGCTTGTGGGCATTTGGGTTGATTCCATGTCTTTCCAATTGTAAATAAAGCAGCAATAAACATGGGGGTGCAGGTATCTTTTTCAATCAGTGTTATGATCTTTTTTAAAAGATTTATTTATGTATGCAGAACTGGGCTTCAGGCCAGAGGTATGGGGGGAGAGGATTCCCCAGAGACACAGTGGTGCGCAGAACAGGCGGATCCACTGAAATCCTCTGCTGAGGGGAGCAGCAGGGAGACGGGAGAGGTCTGCTGCGCCCCATGGGTCACCCCCAGGCTGAATTGAACTCGTGCTACATTTCAACTCGCTGCGCCACCGGGGACAGCTCGAGACCTACTGGGTTTTACCGAGGAACCAAAGACCACAGAACTGCATAATGGTGTCTTGAAAAAGGCTTCACCCTTAAAGACTCACTCTCCTGTCAGGGGTCCTAAATACCGCTGCCACCACAGAGGCAGGTGTGGTAGTGAAGTGTTGACAAAGGGCATGAAAAATGACAGCCAGGCTCCGTTTTGGTCAGGGACACCTTTTAAAAGTGCTTGATCAAGAGAGGCAACATAATCCCAAATCACAGCCAAGTTAGTTGTGCCAGGAAAGGTGGAATTGAGTGTCAGCCAGTCAGACCGGAAGAGCTGTGGTCAGCGTTGTTAAATTCATGCCAGGGTGTAGCCAAAAGGTTGGCTCATAACGCCAGTCTCGAGCTTGTTGTTTTCGTTTTGTTTTGTTGTAATATTTCCTTGTGCACACAGAACAGAGGTACAGGCCGGAGGTGCAGGGGCGGTGAGAGGACTCACCGGAGACAGCGGGGAGCAGGAGAGGCAGACGGCGAAGTCCACGGCTGAGGGGGCAGCGGCGGGTCAGGAGAGGGCTGCTGCCCTGTGAGGGTCGCTCCCTGGCCGGGGGTCTGACTCTGGCTGCGGGGCCTTGGCTGGCGAGGCGCGTTCATAGCGCTGCGCTTTAGCCCTGGAGCCCAGCCACCGTGGGTAGCGGTCCGCGCCTGAACCCTTTCCCTCGGCTTCATTCTCACCAGCCGGGCAGGGCGTGAGGGGCGGGTGCCCTCCCCAGAGGCCGGGCACTTCTGTTCACTTGGGCCTTGGCGCCTGGCGCCGCCCGTGGGGGCTTCCCGCGTGCCGCTCGCAGAGGGGGCCCAGGGGACAGTGACCGGCCCAGGGGCGCGGCCTGCGATGGGGCCGGTGTGTGCAGAGCTCACGGCCAGGGGCGCCCTCCCTGCCGGGCAGCCCTGGGCACAGAGAGCTCTGCCCCATGTCCGCCCCTGGGAAGCAGGAGCCTTGGGGCCGTGTCACTTGCGGGCCATTATCTCCGAGTACTCGGTGGGGGTGGCGCGGGTGGCAGCGGGCACCGGCCAGAGCCTCAGGCTGAGGAAGCTGAGGGAGGCGTAGTGAAGCTCCTGTTCCTCCTGCTGCTCCAGCTCCTGCTCCCCCGCTGAGGCGCGGGGCGCGGGCCCAGGGGCCTCCAGGGTGCCATGGACCGGCTCCTGGCTCACCCAGGAGGCGGGGCCCAGTGTGGAGGGGGCGGCAGCCCGGCCCGCTGCCTTCCCCTGGGGGGCCCCCTTCTTGCAGGTCTTCACTCTGGAGGGCAGGGACACGCCAGGGCTTAGCGGCTGGAGGCCTCGGGGGTGGCCGGCCGGGGACAGACCCTCGCGCTCACCACCCAGGCCCGGG